GGTTCTATACACGTCTTCTCTGTCAGCCTGAACTGTGAAGTGAAGAGAAGTTTCATGTCGAGTTCAAGCTCCGAATATCAAAGTTTCAACCGGAAAAAGTAGATTTCCAATACGCATATTATTTTACCATTGCCAAGGTCAATTAGCTGTCGAAGCAGTATGGGGTACTGGTGTCGTGTATAGCTTGAGAATTACTTCTGGTAAGACTGCTCAAAAGTGGTTTGCAGAGATCGAGGATCGTACCTTGGAACTGGAGGATGTACTCCGCCCCGGTCGGTGTTCGAGATCAATCGGAACGCACGGAGAGAACTTTTGATCGAAGATAACCACCAAATAATCTGTAATTTGGTCGAGCAAGTAAATTGCAGTCATATGACTAGTGACATCTTGGACCTATGGTATTCACTCAAAAAAATTGGAGCTTGAGTGCGCTACGAATTGAGTAAGCATCACAAAAAACAGGGCTTTTCGTTGCCCTTTAACAGTTCATTCGGCAGCAAGCAACATGAAGCTACAACAAAGGTTTCTACACAGAGCGACTGGTGACGACAGGTGAAGTTTTCATGTTGAAGAAAAGCAGTCAAAAGAGAAACCAACTTCAGGAAATATAGCCAAGCCCCCAGTCAAGTCAGATATCTATCCCAAAAAGGCAATGATTTGCGATTAAAGGGATTGAAAAGGTCTTCTGAACTGTAGAACACTTGAGAGTGATAATTAATATGGATCTATATACGGCTCAACTGCATCGAGTGAAACAGGCTATCCAATAGGAATAGATTCGACAGACGAGGCAAAGTCATCTTTTCCCACTATAACGTCAGGTTGCATATGATAAGGGTTATCAAAGTAGCCCTACAGGAGCTTGAATGGAAGGTTTGTTTACATCTATTACATTAATTAGAGTTCGCTCCGACAAATTATTACCTTTTCCGACCACTGATCAATTAAACTAGTATACGTACATTTGTCAGTGAACGAGGTCTGACAACTTAGCTGGACGAATTCTTCAACACTAACCCTGAAGGTTTCTGGTGAAAAGCAATAAATTAATTGTCCGACGGTAGAAGGTCGTAGCGAGCCACGGCAAATAATAACAATAAATAAATGGCGGAACGCCGCGCTTTTTACTACATCAAAAAAGGCAAAATTACTCGTGGTTTACTCGTATTTACAAAGTAGAGAAGGTTAAAGGTTACACTTATCGTCGCCCTCTATCTTACATCTCTAAAATTTTGTCAACTGTACTACTTGACCACAGATCTATGAATATCAACTATTTATTTATATCTTTATCAGACACATGCGCAAGTTGATTACAATGTGGTAGTGTTTTGCATTAGATAAAATCGAATATACAAGAAGCAATGAATATAGTGCACCTATCTGCATCAAAACGCCCCTGCACTAATTCAATCTGCCATTATAGAGCCCGCCAGCTAAAGTGAATGCTAAAAGTCACGTGTTTTTTTTCTACCCGTAGTTTCAATGCGCTTTTCTTAATCTTTGTCAAAATTTCCGCTATGCGTGGTTAAAGCAGCGAAACTGCCATATTACTAACAGGCAAGTATCAAGTAAAGCTACCTAATAGTAAAAGGATCTGATTCTAATATGTCATCATGGGTTACCAATGAGGTATGATACAAACCAATGCGAAGGGACTGGAGAATGACACACTCATTGAGAGATTTGTACCGTAGTGATCTATAGACAAGTCAACAAAAGCATGCACGATTCTCTCTTTCTCTCTCACGTAAACCCCCACTGGAGAACTATGTCTCTTGTCTATGGAGAAACGAATTTTATTGATATAGATAACTTTAACAATAACTATAAATGTAGTTCGCAGTAAATTGAGCATATACTGAACATACCCAGTTACCACAAACTACCGTTACAGTTATTGCTGAAACATGCCGCTAAAAGACAACGTAAATGCGTCAATAAAATTCATTTCCGTAAAACAAAACTAGACAGAATCAAACAAGCAAGTTACCACTTTTAGAGAGCTTAAAGCTGTCGCAAAATGCGGCATACCGATAGGAGCAATAATTATGAGAGTTGCACTGCATTTGCCCCGATAAACGATGTGGACTTCAAAGTTGATGCTCCACTCGACAAATAATATGGATCATTTAAGTCGAAGTGCTCAAGTTATAGCCGATATGAAGTATCACGTTATCAGACGACTAGCTCCGTCCAGTGTATTCCATGAACCTCTTTTAAAGCCCATGTGATTTGGATTGCTTGCATAAGTAGAAACGCTATCGGTAACTTACGTATATAGCTGTCGGATTCCTGAAGGAAACAAATATGTACTGAAGTTAGACATGGTAACAAAAAAGATAGTACTCAACAATTGAGAAGCTACTTGGTTCGAGTGCACCGGGCTCAGATCGCAAATGAAGCAAAGAAACTAATAAATCATATTGAAATCAACTCGTTCTGCTACTTAAAGCATGTAAATATTTAAGAAATCAAAACCATGTTGGTGGCAGGCTAATAAATGATGAGCCTCACGATAAGCCTTACCTATTAAAAGGTGTTTAAAAAAGGCATACATTAGGTCATGGCAAACGTCAAAGATAAAGTACATAGTGCTATTGTACATTAAGGCCTAATTTTAATCTAGTTATAATGTAGAAAAGATAATTTATTGCATAACGAATAAATTAACTCCAATTTATCTTCCTAAAGCAAAACTTCGAGTTAACTTAAGCTGTGCTTTTTGACAACGTCTTCTAAATTGTGACCTAACACTCGCTACGACAATAGTATGCATTGAAATTGACCCGGAACTTTTCCAATTGAAAGTGTAGTTTTTATACCAAATGCCTTTTACATGTTCTTTTTTTCTTCTTAATCTTATGGGTGAAACAAGTGGCGAAGCAGTCATTTATAATCTAGTCATATCTACCTAACGATAATGATATGTTTCTACATGCTTTTTTTGAATTTTCCTTAGTGCCTCTAACAATTTGCTAAATTATTTCGCCGAAACTTTCACTCTGAATTTTGTTTAGAAGGTCTCGCTTATAAGGCCTTAAACCCTTTAAAATGCGAATTTAAGCCTTTTTTGTATCGAAATATTTAAAAGTAAAGAGAAACTACACGCCTGTAAACTGCATATTTTGACCAAACTTCGAAATGGTTAGGTTGGGAATCTTTCCCAAATAATTTAACAGGGCTAATTTGATAACTGAATTCAAATCGAGAATTCGTTTCGAATATCGAAAATTTAGCAAAACATTTTTATCTAATCGATCAGTTTTCGAATGGCAAAGAAATCATCCGAATGATACGCGGTACAATGCATTCACTATTTATTTGTTGCATCAGCGGTAGCATGCACCTTTGTAGTGCTACAATATGAAATGTATGGGAAATATACGCGTCGTTGGTAGCTTCAAATGTCTCACTGAAGTACGACCTCAGATGTGCAATAAATAGCGGGGTAGTCACGGAGATTGTACATAGATTCACACAGCACTGTAAAATTGAAGTACTAAAAACTCCTGAGTCTAACAAAAATTAGGTAGATTCAGTTAAATAGGTTGCTGATCCTGTTCGTCCTCTTCATGAACCTCATTGAGTTTAGCATTCGCGAACGCTTCCGGGTATTGATTTGCTAATACGGACTTCAAGAAACGTATTCGACTAAAAACGTTTTCCAAGTCCTTTTTGAGATCTTGAAGCAACGTGACGTGCTAAAAAGAATTGAACGATCGAAGAACAAATTAGTTTATAATATAGTGTCTGTACACATGCACATATTCTTAATTAGACGATCATACGTAATCACTCAGGAAATTTTGTTCGACATACGCAGCTCTATACGAGAAGCTTTCATAGATCTGCATTCATCATAGCATAGCTAACTTATCACTAAAGTAGAATGGGATTTAGAAACAGAGTACGAAGTGTAGATTTTCTGCAACCTTCGACACAACTTTGTATGTTATACGTCGTCTGACTTCGGTAAATAGCCTAAAATAAAACGACGAATAGACGGTTGAAAACTGTTCAAAGTGTGGGTTATTAGTCGTCAAATACAACCCATTACCAACCTGGGAAACCTCTTTTGTTGCTACAGCAAGACGGCTCTGGGAGAGACCATTGCAGGTAGCTAACATGCAGTTAGACTTTTCGAACCGTTCCAACATTACCTGAAGGACAGAGCAACCTAATTAGATAAAAATATCGCTCCTCAAAGCAATCAAACTAGCTCAGTTAATAATACTGCTGAATACTTAGATTCTACGTGTCTATAATACAGTTGAATATATCGTTCTAACGAAAGCGTATTGCTCATTTTAGGTAAATTCATTTTATGTAACCTCCTCTAAGAAAAACTGTAGTACGTTAAAGCTTAACCAATACTGCTTGCGTTTTAAGATTATAAGGTGGATAGACCAGATTAAATTATCACGCCGATTTACTTAGCTACTAAAGTTAGGGAACCATCAACAGCGTATCGTCCTCAATTCCCAATACTTGCTCGAGGGTGTCAAGAGAAACAGTACTCTACATATCCATAAGAAGTTCGGCACTAACGATCGGTTTTCAAACCGAAGAACGCTTCCATATTGCAATTTATATAACGATGATTTTAGAACTGTATAATGGCACAATAGTATGTTGCGCAGATGATATAATCAAGTATAGCATTATGAACAGTAGGAGAGATTGTCTTACGTTTTGCCCATTACACACTTTAACTTCGATAACCTACCTTGACTAATATTGTATTATTATATGAGAAGTAATGTTTTTGTATGCTATTTTGCCGTATGATGACCCCTCATCAAAACAACAGATATAACCAATGCGCAGATAAATCTATAAACTATGTCAAAAAAACACACCTTTTGTGTACTCTGCACCATATCAGTGTCTTGAACATTTAACATTGCAGCTAGATCTCTGCTGAGGATTTGACTAGCTGATAATTGCTCCTCTATAGTGGCAAAATCTATTGATATCGATGTTGAGTCAGTGCCGGCCATTGTTCCGTTTATCAGAGCGGGAATATTTTCCCTGGAAAGCTCGTTCCTGACAGATCGTTCCACGTACCTACAAGGGCCTTCGACGATGTTGTTGTTTCGTTTTTAAGGTGAAGCAGACAATATTAGCCAGAGCGGCGGGAAATTTGATTACGAAACGAATAATCAGGTAAGACGAAAGAAATGTTTTTGATGTCTAGCGTTACAAGTTCATGTGTTAGCAACCTTCGGATATTTTGTGTTCTAAAAATTGTTGAACTCATACTATGGGAAAAAAACACTAGTAAAACTAAAATCACCGTATAAGCTAAAATACTGATCTTTCAAATTCACACAACATAACGTTGACGCGAACCCATGCTCTTGCGGTCTACATACGACGTGAGATATGTCGGTGACCACAGCATGACTTTACCACAATATGCACCGGGTCAATGCACTTGATGTATATAAGCCACGATGAAGTCTGAAGCGGGAAGAACGCCAGTATCATTAGTTACTTTTGCGCAAGTCACGCATTTTGATTTGAACATCAATGCAAAACATTTTCGAAATTAAGAAAAAAATTATGGGCCATAAAGCATTATCTTTTGAGCAAAAACTTTTCACCTCCTTGAAACTAAGCCTAAGCTCAGGCCTTAACTTAGGCTTGCTTATACCCACATACCATATTCAATGGAGTAGAAATTTCAGCTCTGCTGGCTCGGAGGAACGAACTAAAAGGGATAAGAAATCGGCCCTTTAGGTTTTATGTAGTGAAGCTGAACTATATGCGTGAAAAAAACGAGAGAGAGAGCTGTATGGTCCACAAATATAGTATAAAAAAGCTTAAGAAGACTCCGACCAAAGCTACTACTCGGACCGCTAAAAGTGCGCGAATTGACGAAGATTACAGAAGAGATATTTCCCTACACAAGACTAACCCAGGAATGGTCGTTCTATTCAAATATTACATGTAAGCTGTTGTTTTATTTAAGGTTTGAAATGCATACTGCTGCTGCTGCTGTACAATTTTCTAAAATTACGAATAGTAAAAATTCACCTCAATTATTATTTCTTTATCTTAAAGGAACCAATTTATCGGAAAAATTTAATTAAAAAATTTGAATATATCCAATAGGACAATAAGCTATAGGTACTTTGTTCATAACATGTACGTTATTGGTATGTACTTGCCGCTATTATTTATGTCACTGTTGTTCACCCATAAATTAACAGAGTAATAATGTAACAATTTTAAAACAGGTTTTCGCCTGTCATATATTAAAAAAATCTATAATTAGCCGTTTACGTGCTATTAGTCCCTGTGCTATGTTGCATGCTGCATAGCTCTAGTACTTAAATTATAGCGAGTTAAAACCTATATTTGGCTTCATTGATGCCCGCAAATACCTGAGCTCTTAGATTGAAAAATAACATCTCATGAGGCAAATGACACAGTAATATGCAGATTTTTTATATATATTATCTGGACACATTTTCTACCAAAATATTAGAGGCAGCTGCCGAACACACACCACTGAACCCTATTCCGAAGAATAAATGTTTACAGCTTCATGAATTCATCAACAACTTGATCCAAACTATAAGTAATATAACAGATCCTCGACTCGCTCCTCGGGCTGATCTTCAAGAACATCCGCGACAAACTCCGCGCATTTGCTGGCGTACTGAAATTTAGGAGTTTTAGTTATACGGGTTAGATAAACAACGTATGCTTTGATGCCACGATGCGTTTTTCGCTGGACGCAGCAACGTGAACCACAATTGAAGTTCACAGTGGGGTTCACAATTCACGATGATGAAGCGTCCGTTCAATTTACATTGGAGCATATATTACCAGATAGATTACAGTTGCATTGTTGTGCATTACAGAAGGTTCTTAACCGTAAATTACAAGTGAGACATTTTTACACGTACCAGTAGTGGGGCTGGTAGTGAAGTTTCGCCGGCCACATTGAAGTACATATGTTTGAGCTGTTTGATAACCTTTGAAATGACTTTTATGGATAGCTGAGCTGTATTGCACTCCAGAAGAAAGACAAGCACGTCAGTAGGCACGCCCTTTTGCTGAGGCACATAAATGAGTTTCCTGTAGAAACGATTGAAAAATAAGAAGCAAAAATATCAATACTTACAGTCCTTAATATGAATAGGAAAACGACAACGCCAATAAATGAATTTAGGATGCTCCTCCTAACCACGATTATAACGTCCGTAGTCTCCTATTGTGAATTCTACTGATTTTTACTTTGGTATGAGTCTTTTTCGCACAAACTCTTCAGTATTAGCATTGACCCCTTTCGTTTGCTTTGGTCACTACATTTATAAAAAAAAATTAAAGGTTCTTTAGAAATTGTCCGATGTAGCCCAATCAAATCAATAGTGAATAGTTGACGTTGTATTGAATTGTATTAATTTTGGGCTCCAGCGCTTCGCATCAATTGCCCATTCAATTAAGTGCGAAATATTTCACTAACTTGTGCAAATCTGTCAAAGCAGTAGCACAATCGTCCGATTTGGCAGCAGTCATGAAGATGTCAACCAGCTCAACGGTGTCTAGAAGAGTAACTACAACAAGTGAAGTGTTTGGGCCGCATGCTCCCTGAAGGTCGGCTTTTTCTCTTTGCGATAAAGGTGCCATTTGTCTTCGAAACACAAACGTCGTTTCCGGCATAGTGTCTTTATTTGCCTAAAAATAAAAATAAGATCATCGTTAGACAGTAGGCAAATACACACAGATATGTGTATTCGCTACAAACATTTATTTCGATTAGCGACAAACCCACATGAATACTAGATACGAACTTACAAATAAACTGTAAGAATTGAAAATTCACCTACAATTGTAAATTACCATACGAAAAAAGTATAATGCTTAGTATATCTTATTATTTATGTACATAAATTATATGTATATCTATGAAGAGGTGAGAGGCATAGAGGGAAGCCACTGTATCAAAAATTATATATAAGTTTGACGACAGCGTTAGAGAATAAAGGGCACAAACAATTTTTATTATATTTTATAAAACTATTTTTATTAGAAAAATCCGATTAGTTAAGGAATACCATTGTAGAGAAAGTATGTATGAAGCTGGAAGGAGAATTTATATAGGGAAGAATATTCATAGCGTGATGACTCTTTCGAAGAATTTTCTTTCAAGACGGTACTTTTAAGAAAACCGAAGCTATACTTTTTTAGAAGCTTTGAATAAAAGGAGGTGATCTACAAATGTTGAGAACACCTAAAGCCGCTGAGAAAAATCGAATCTACTTAGAGACAATCGTGAATCGCGTAGTGTTTTTGAGATATATTTGAATAATACGACCTGTCAACTCGATAACCCGATAAAAATCTTCTTAATTTGTAGTAAACATTACAAACAGATTTCTGCTGAGTGCTACATAATACTCATAGGTTCATTATCTAAATCTTCTAATATAACGTACTTCTCTGTATTTAGCAAGAGCTTTCGTCGCGACTATTTTGAGGTCCTGCATATCCTTAATAGCAGTGGAATACCATCTGGAAAACAGTCTGTCTCTTGATGCAACCACTCCTAACCATAGGAAGCCTGAAGTGCCTGTGTACGCGGACATTCCTGGAAAAACGAAAAACAGTTTTTTTGTATAATCTGAGCCGTGTGTGTGTCAACGGGCAGACGAGGCGCCATAACATTCACGGATAACTAAGTTTGACCGAGCGCACCTTAATGAGATAAAAATCGTTCGTTGTTATAGGTATATATTTACAATCTTTCGGTCCAGTATTAATTATTATTATTCTCTTATCAACCGATTGGTAAATTTCTATCAAGTCGCTAGTTCGATACACGCTGAGTTGTAGACGGTTTATCTGTTCAAAATGTTTACCAATGACCATAATGCCGGTGAGGGTTCCGTCTAACGTCCACAAATCGCCGCCCATTTTGCAATTAATTTGCGTGATAATACTCAAGCAAACTTGCGGTCGACTAGCAACAGCTCGGGCAGTGTCGCGAATCAGAACCTGTGTGGCAATATTTCTGTTTTGCGACATTAGCGCCCATTTTTTCACATCACAATAGATGTCGTCGCGTGATGCGCGCATTATGACAATGGCGAGTTGTAGATCTTTCTGCAATTTTGATGGAAACATAACAAATGGCAACATACCAATACTTCAATCAGCGTGTGCTAGTAAACAAGGTACTTAACATTTAGTGGTGAATCGGTCCTGGACACTAATGGCACTAATCATAGAAAACATCCGCATACCTGTTTGTTTCATGGCTTGTCCAGGACATATGGCAGATTCTAGATGAAGACCAATAAACATAGCGTATTATTTCATGGTTGCTAATGGTATTATGACGTCACTTCGGTAGCTAGATGCAGTGACACATATTATAAACGAGAATTTTCTGTTGATTCTTGTATTACTGACATGTTTCCCTTGAAGCGCCTTGAGTGCTTGCACATACGCCTTTCGTTCGTCGGATAGAATGTACTTAGCCATTCTCGGCGAATCTATTTGGATCCCTAGCTTTGGCGCGTCATTAATAAGATTTTCAATCATTGCTATGACGATATTTTCATCACCACGTTGCGCAACTACAACCCAGCTCGAAATTCGAACCTGCAAAATCCAGAAATTGTTAGAGTATTAATGTTCGTTTGTTGTCTTTGTCAATATTTGTTGTCTTTGACTGCCAGCGCTGATTTTGCTAATCGATTGAATAGATATGAAGCTACATTACTAACAATAGTGTTGAGTTGTTATTTCAATTGATACACTTAAGAACGGTGCTCATCAAACCATCTACCATTCTCTTGTAACAGTCTTTTGCCATAAGACACATTCTAATTGTTGAGAAAACACAACCACTACGCGCAGTGCTTGATACTTACTGGAGTCGTCACTTCGAAATCCGCCAGACGAGCTAGCCAACCTCGTGATTGAACCGGAGCGTAACAGTTCTTAGCCAGATGCAACATTTGGTCGCTTTGAAGGAGAACTCCGTTTGACACCACGGCGGTGTCAAGGAGCTGCAGGCCCCAAGCTGCCAACTCATTAACGATTCGCTTCTTTGTTGCACTCTCCAAGTAACGCAAGAGAGCTAGTTGCCTCTGTTGGCCACTAACGGGCTCCCCAAGAAAATTTGAAACGCAATCAGCACCACCTATTCAAGGCGCGCCACAAGCCGGATAAACGGCGTCTAATTTATGGCCTTTTATTTATTAATTTATTATATGATGTTAAATAGGTGTGGCATTTGTCCTTTAGCAGTTTCTATGAAAATGGTGCATTGACTTGGGACGTCGGAAAGTAGAAGACACGGAACGGCAATCAGTTTCACCGTTCTCACCGTTCTTCACATTAATAATACGCATACTAACGAAACTGTTAAACCGGACAATTTGTGATACAAGGCCGTTGTTCACATTTTAACAGCAAATCGATAACGTTTTTATTTTTTACTGAAAGTCTACGTATTTCTCGCTTTTCTCTTATATGACGCTAATGATGATAGCCGGCCATATGTTTCACATTAAACCACTAGATTGACAGACAATTAATACCTCTTTTGTCCCAAACAAAGCCTTCGCACATTTTTCGTATAATTCATCAAAATCATTCAGGAAAAAAAAATTCAAGAAATCAATAATTTTTAATTACATGCCTTCTGCGTGATCTCGCCCTAAAAGGTGCGAACTCTTCGTTCTCCGAGACCCTTGAATGCGCAGGTTCTCAGCTTCCATATGTGTGGTAGTTTCCTTATGGAGGTATCTACAAACCTGAATTCGTATGAGAACGCAGAGCACAAAACAACAAAAATTGTAACAGGAGGTACATTAATAGTACTGGAGTATTGAAATCAAATCAATATTTGAGCGTAAAATCCACCCTTATAGATTAGGGAAAATAGATAAGAGGAGCTCCAAAAACTTACCAAAATAGGTCTCGGTTGTACCCTCACTCCACGGCGTTCGAAGAAGCTCTGTCTATGGTGACTTTTCCTCATGTTTTGATCCCACAAAACGTCGCTTATTATTAGAATTGTCTTCTCTATATCGGCAAGTACCACGAGATTTTTGAGAGAGTCCAAGACTAATCGATGATAGTATTTTTCATCTACTCCCTCACTAATCGCATAAATTAGACACTCCGAGCTATAACCAAAAAAACGGTTCGAACACACAAGGTAATCACATTGTTACTTCTATATCTGTATTTTATTGAACATGTGAGATATATTTTTTAGCTAGTTTCGCAAGTTCGCTACAACAGTTGACTGTCAATTATGATGGTATGCATGTTGAAGTCTACCAGTCTCTTCTCAAGATTTGTAAACTGAAACTGAAGGAGATTCGTACATAATATCGCGTACAGTGCCAGTATTTACTGGATTCGACGAACAGCGGACTAAGATTCTGTGGTCGTTTAAGTCATTTTCGTCGACCTTGACCACATCGATAACCTTGCCAGGGTACCGTTCAAAACGTCGATACTCTGGCGTTAACTGCAGAGGCACAAAGGCTTTTGGTGAAGTAATCATCAATGCGATCTGCTCAAACGAGGCCAAGAAAAGCAACGATAATTTACATATTTAGAGTACAACAGAATAATCCACTGGAATAACGAACAAAATATTCACATTTATTTATCGTAAATGCCGAGAAGCTGGCTAGTATAAAAGAAGAGGTCGTTAAAGCCTACTGTGAGTTAATCCAAATTTAGACCTTCAAGATTATTTCCAAATATAAAATAATTACCAACCTTCTGCAGAAGTACGTCAAAAAACTCTTTTTGGTTAATGGGGTTTGAGCTTAGTTCAAAGCTCACCGTAACCTGATGCGAATCGATTGTACCCTGTAATTTCTATAACACCAATTATTCCGTTAGTTTTTTGATTAGTAATACAGCGCCGCAGGCGCCACTGATTAAATCTGATTCTATGAAAAGTACTCTGGCGAACAAGACACTGTATACCACTATCATGTCATAAAATATTTAGGCAAACAAACCATAGATTTTAATGTTACGTCATTTACTTTTGCCGCTGCATTTCCTTAAATGCTGTAGTTGATAAAATACTTTCCTATGTCAAACAATGATGCACTTGGTGTTATTGCATTTTGTCTAAAACACCACTCTTCATGTTTGAATAATATAGTAGTGATAAAGAAATGTGTATGTGCTTAAATGTAATTGATCAGAAAATTAGATTATTGTGGTAATTCAAAAATCACAAAACGAGCTTCAAGGAAGGCGCTTAATAAAAAAAAAAAGTGTTTATGAACTTATACTCGCCTTTACAAATCAATATCTAACTAAAACCTTGACCATGTGACGTACTGAATGGACAGGGTAGATTTTTGAGGTTGAGCTGCTCATAGGCTCGATAAGTCAAGCAGCAATAAAACGAAAGCGGTAAATGGGAAAAATAATCGTTCACTAGTGAAAATCAGTAAAATGAGAAATGTAAACGTAGTAATTAGTTAATGATACATACAAAATGGTCCTGTGGTAGTGGGCCGACTGTGTACAGTTTGTCCGGTAGTTCGAAATAGTATGCCGGAAGTTCAAGCGCATCCTTGACAAACTCCTGGAGGAAAAATTGTTTTTTTTGTATGGGAAACAGCTCGTAGTCCTCGTGCGAAGTGAACTCTACGTGATAGCATAACTTCGTCACTTCCGTATTCTCTTTGAACTGGAGACAGTTGGTGTTGGAGAACGCGCTTCTGCAATTGGCAATTATACACAAGAAAATGTGAAATCGTATGTGTTATCTTCGGCAGGCTCATATAATATGTTACGTTTCACATACGTAGAATAAAGGCACACCTTCTTTTCTGATAGAATCTTGCCCCATCCTTATAAAACTTTGGAACGTACATATTGTTCTGTTGTTCCGTTGGTACGGCAGGCAGTGCTTCTTTTAATTGTTGGATGTCACTGCTAAATGTGCCTTCGATGTCCCGCGGTGTACATGACTCGGATCGAAATATGTTTGTAATAAAATCATTACTCGTGTCGGTTGCCCCTGTGAATAGCATGTTCAAAGTCGAATACACTGTAAAAATATAATTTCACGATTGTGTACCTATTATTGGAACTGAAGATTTTTAATAACACAGGTAATAGGCGTTACAGATTACGAATTTAACAACCCTTTTTTACCCAGAAGTTTACTTACCTACAGTAGGTGTATAAAAGCGTACTACATACCATCTAAGCTATATGTTCCATTAGCCGGACTGCGCACTGATGATACGCTTTGCGCACATGATTTGATTAACTTGCTTGAGTTCGTATCAATCGACTGACCTAAAAGAAGTAACGAAGAAAATCAAAACAATGATGAGTAGGGATACGTTGTTGATGGTGCTTATTTTAGCATCGCTTGGTACATATGGTCGGGCCAGCAAAAGATCCGCGATTCTACAATTTGTCATACATAAGTAAATAGTTATACTTTACATACACGACTTCCGTGGCGCGATTAATGTGAGTAATGTTCAGATTTCCTTCGTTCTCATTTAGTGCGAACGATTCCGCGACTGTGTCACCATTGCGACTGCGTATATCGTATTGTAGGTCAGATGAGTCGAAGCATATGTTATTTTTATTCGGGCTATCAAACGACGTCGTGTATTATTTGATCAAATCTCATACCTAATTAAAAACATCGGACCACGTCATGAACCCATCTAACAAAACAACATACTTCCTACTGATATACCAATTATTTACCTCTTTTTAAATAGCTAAATAACGCAAATAGAGCCACCTATAAATACCAAAGCGTTTATTTTAAACGATAATATTTATGGCTAATCCTAAAGTATATTATCAGTATTGAAGGCACAATGGCAAACTATAGGCACAGTTGTATTTAACTGAGCCTTGTCCAGAGCCTTCTCTGTGAACTATGAGAAAACCACGGAAGACACTAGAACTTACCAATGCCAGAGTCTGAATTTGTTTTCTTCGACCTGCTACGCAACATCAAGCCGCGGCCTCGTCCTGGTTTCGCCTTTAAAGTTATATAGTGCGTTTTAGACTTAACATAATGACTGACATTAAAATTACGGCAGTTGTTTGGAGTGTAAAGTATAAGATAGGGGCTGAGCGGCAATCACTACTCTAATGTGTGTAGCAGCACACTAACCCATTTTTGCCCCATTCATAGATTACTGATAATAAACGTATTCGTTGCACACTACCAGTTGCTCCGATTATTTAATAGTCGTTCTAAATAATCCTGTCACCGAACACTAAATGTCCCATTCCTCGCACCACATATATTTCGTGCTTTCATCACAATTAGGACATCGACTGTTTGCCATGGGATTCATTTTCAAAATCTTGCTAACATAAATCGCTTGATTGAATGAATAGTATGAAAATCTTGCTATTCATCTAAAATGGTTATCACAGGGAAAACGTTACACTCTACAGTCGTCAGACAACGAAAATACTTTATTAATCAAAAATCGAGCCCTACGCTCTTTTTTTAGAGCTAAAGAAAGTAAGCCAACTTTGGTTAGTGTCAAAGGTATCCTCTTGGGGAAAAGCTGTTCTTTGACCCTTGATTAAACTTTCTTCTCGTCGAGGCAAGTGTACATAAGTCTACATATTTAAATGCTGCCGCATCTAGTCGGTATAGGGTAAATATCATATATGTATAGTAATGGAATACTAACCACCGATGCTTGTGAACCTTCCCGGCTGTCCATCGTGTGTTATAGGGCTGGTACGTACACACAAATAATATTAATGTCTGCAACATTACAAGCCACGGTTATTATCATACTTGAACGTAAAGCCCCATGCTGCTTTTGTTCTCTATCCGCTAGGTAATTAATCTATTTTCTAATATGGTCAACGAATACAACGGATAATATGAATAGCACGCAATATAAGCAGATCTTATTAAGGTTTCGTACTAGAAAAATTCATAAACAAGGGGGGCGATTAATTCAACATAAAAATTACATATAAACATATCGGTGGTATCCACCGATATGTTTCTCTGCTACTGTCTAACTCCTACCATTCCTCGAATATATCTCGTCTCTTTAAGCATTATATTCCTTTTTCGAACCTTATACCTTTTTGCGTAACTAATAATTTCAACGAATATGTGCCTAAGATGTGTTTTATGGACACACACCACCTCTAAACAGGAAGGCCTCTCTACAATAGATAATCAATTAAAGTATACTTTTACGGCTTCCTTTTTAATCCATATTTTCTTACAATACCAAAGAAACACATGCTACTTTAAACTGACGAATATATAGGTACGTTCAGGTGTTGCACCGATTAATACTTCCAATAACGACTCGTAAAACGTTTTAGAAACGCAAGTGTAACCTGAAGACAGCACAGCGGTCGAGCAAACTTTTTTACAGACAAAGATAAGTTCAAAAAAAAAATCAATAACTTTGATAAATGACAATGGCAATAGTATCTGCTGCAAGCGCCTTATTGTTCTTAAGGTGTAAACATGCCGGAGGTTTGGCTGGCATAACGAACTCGGCTGCATGTAAGAGGCGAAATAATTGGAGAGTACCCTTTCTATCAGTTAACGGAAGTCCTGGCACATTGATGAGTTTTAAAATATTTCAATAATCTCAATTCAATAATCAAAAGGTTCACTCCTGATATGACGTCATCAATGATAAAATTCGTCCTATAGAGGTTTTCTACATCGATGCATTTTCGCGTTCAAAAACAGTCCAATACACAAAAACATCTCCTCGTGTAGGTTAATTTGTTTCTTTAATAATATATCAAAATGTTCGCTTTCAACTACAGATCGTAATACTTACAGTAGCCTTAGGTTTGTTTGTTTTTAATGTTGATCGCAGTACAAAAGTCACTTCGATAAAGTAGCCAAACCGTCACGTCAATCTGTAATGATAAGCAACAACGGCCTCAATGAGTCATGTAATCACGCTAGAACCTTATGAATAATTGCGTTTTATGATGTAATAGCACTTGAATTGAACATAACTAAACACAAATAGCCCATAAACGAAAAAGCGGAATATACGTAAGTGACGGCGACACAATACTTTGTTTAGGCTAAAAGAAAATAAATGCCCAATATTTATCCACTTAGATTTACTTTCTTACTGGTATCGCAAACCTTATTCAAATTAGAGCGTAATCTCTCTATCTTTCTCGTGGAATTTCCGTTTTTACTACACTTGCGGTTAGAGCCGTGTTCCTGTTTTGTATGTCAAAATACTTAAAAATTCCTGAGGCAAGCTTGTTTGTAAACATCATTTGAAATTGTAAACACTGTAAGCAACATTGTGAAAATAAAGAAATCTTCGACGCACATACGAGTGTAGAGTATGCAATAACCTTAACAAGACAATTTTATCGATGAAGTGCGGTGCAACGCATGCAGACGTTTTATATGGGCTGTTTGTGTAGAGCTGTCCTTTCCCCTTTCCGTCTGCTCTCTGTTTCGGAGGGACCAGTTAGGATGTTTTTATTTATGATATAAACATTGGAACGCGAGCAGATCTAGGTACCATTGTCGTGTTGCTTTCAATACATGTCACTGTATCAATAACATTACCGTGGCCTGGCTCTACGTTCTATGTTGTACATATGTATGAATGATTGGCACGTCTGAAATAGGGAGCATCAAAAATCAATTACATCTGGAGAATCGAACAGGTTATAAATCTGATAGGCAACAAACATTAAAACAAACTTGATACATACGAGAACCATACGTTAGTATACTGATTGTGATCCATATGGCTGATCCTCAAGTTGCCAGCACGAGTCCCCAGGGAAACCACCCAAATGTGATTCGCTTAGGCCCCTTCATGCCCACGAAAAAACACAGTGACCATGAAAGGTAAGTCTAAGTTTCGCTTCCACATCAGGATAACATGTGGAATACAGTGAAAATCAACCAATCGGTTTTGTTAATATAATGGTTAACAGTTTATAAAGGAACGGCTACATGCATTTTCATTTTATACAGTACACTGTAGGTAATAGTACTACTAAAGAAAATGAACGAATAGAAAAAGACGTAGATCTGAATATAAAAATGCTGATTCAATATTGTAAAAAGTATTGCTCGACGAGGAGATAAAAAATAATAAAAGAAGTTCAATATCGGACGAAACTCCGAAGGTTTTTGATCGACAGTGATGCCAAGAAATGATCACTGCGTTCTCCAGACACAAAGATAAATTAACAAAAAGTGCTACCAACGTGTATTTTGAATTTCTTTCTTTCGGGTGGCTCCATATGTACGCATTTAGACGCAGTCTTCTACAACGGGTCAAACTGAGCGGTATATAGGTTAACATCAACAGCATCAATAATTTTTGAATTCTTTCAGATGGGTGCATGTATACCCTATATATCTGAATAAAAACAAAACTGTCGCTGAAGGTCGTCGGGTCCCTAAGGAAATTGTAAGTGTTTTAAAAACAGCAATTACCATTAGCGACGTCCGTTCGTAAAACTTTTTTTAGATTTTACGGTTTAAAAGTGTATGATACTTTTAGGAGTATCAATAGAGGGTGTATGAATGGACGTCGCTAATGGTAGCTGTTATGTATGTTTTGTATGTTATGTTAGTTATGTATCATAAAGGAATGTAATGTATTTGATTATCCAATACGCTGTTTAAGACCCATATGAAAAAATTCGTAGGTAAACAAAGAAAATCTTAAGCAAACAATCCATTTTGAGGTTACAAAAAGATTGATCCATAGTAAATACGTTGCAGGCAGTTGTGGACCCTATAGCACGAGAGATTGTCATGGCCTTACAAGAAAAGGGTTTCGACCTGTTTGTTGAGGGTTACAAAGTGCACCCGCGTGAGGTCGACAAGGAAAATGCTCTTATGAGATCACGTGTCCGGGTTCACTTCAAAAACGATGATGGGAAGCCCATTAACCCGCAGTATCCTACAAGTATGATAAAATCATGTCGAACGTTTTTACGTAGATTTTAGGCGCCGCATTTCAATATCGCTTGCTTAAATTAGATATCAAGATTATTAATCAATATTCTATACGGCTTTTATTTTTTTCTTTAGAACGGAAATGGTACGGTTGGAGCCTATTGCGAAAAACGTTTTATTTATCTAACCAAAGTAAATATTATCATCATCATAAAGAAACCGGGACAACATGACGCTACACGAAGAATTAGACTGTCTAGCAGCATGCTTGCCTTGTTTTTTTTACACATCTTTTTTTTTTTTTATATTTAGAACGTGCATTATTTCGTATGCTGTGCGAATCGATCGCTGCCATCGAGTACCGGCAGGATCCTGAGATGTTCAAACAGCATCAGCGAGCACTACAGGCACAGGTTGCTCCTCAAGTCCTCCAACAGCAGCGTTTCCTCGAGCGTTTAGAGAAATCGCAAACACAGACTCCCGGAAACAGTGGTTCCCAGTCAACCACTATAACCAATAAGAAGAAGAACAAACGGGGAAGAAAATAATATAACCTTCTTATGGCAGTTCCTGTTACTTATTGCTTCTTATTAGGAATCTCTGACCGGAGAAGTGTAGTTGATAAACTTATCCAGTATTGCGAGATTTTTAAGCTGTAATATGAACCGATAAGTACTGCTGCTAACAATAAAATACGAAACGAAATCTTTAATGTATATATATATATATATATATATATATATATAGCGTATTACAATAATAACTATATAATAATACTAATAACAATAATAATTTAATGTTAAGATTTTTATTCATTCTAGGCATTTTGTTTGACATTATGAAGATTCTATAAACTTATCGCATTGATTACCGACTCACCGTAGCACAATTTGCTAGTAACTTAAGACCTAAAAAAATAGCTGCTCGGCTTAACCATTGGATCTCCTTTTTCTGTAAGAACGCTTTCCATATAATAACTTCAATACAATTTGTGCAGTAGTCACGATTTCATCCAGTGTCGTAGGAATGGTCTAGCGAATAGAAAAAATGAAACTGAGTATTATTCGTGTAATGTAATGATTCTAGCGAGAGAAACGATTACGCTGAAACAATTGTTTTAATGTCATATTTTTTCAAATTCGACAGGTAGATAATGCCTTTCTAAAGATCGAATACTCGGCAAAAAGTTCACCAATGTTAAACCCTCGTTTGTTGCGAGATTACATGATCATTGTGTGGAAAGCACTGTTCCTGTCAAATGATGATCGAAATGAACTTTTGAGGGTCAGATGACCCTGTCTCCCTCATGGGAACACTGATACAATATGCTGCGTAGAAAGCACAGAGAAAACGGGGCTAAATTACAAAGAAGCTGTTCAAAGGATGGCTTATTTTATCACGTTTTATATACATACTGCGCTTCCACCCGGAGTGTCTTTCTGCCTCCTTAAACTAAGATGTTCGACTACGATGCACGACGACGATGACGAAAAGATTTAAACAAGAAAAGCTGTAAGAAACAAATCCAAGCCAGATCAAAATAGTCAATGCGTACCCTTATGTCAAAATAATTTCCCGTTTCAGTCCCTATATGAAACCAGATCAATGATTTCTAGGACTTTACTAAAATGAAAATTTTTCAAGCAGTATTTCGTAGATACAAGGCATATAATGACGCATTTGCAATGAACACGGAAACAAGTGGAAGATAAATACTAGCAAAACAATCCGTATTAACATTACAATGTCACATTCCCGTGAGCAAGGACCAAGTACTGGCCAGAGCTGAAGCCTTGTTAGAACCGTGAGAATTTCAAAAACAGCTTTTGAAATGATTCGGTTTGTAAAAGCTACATTCTTATTCACAGCTCGGTCCTGTATATTTAACAATCTACATTGTTTACAATTTTTAAAAACAATTTTTTCTTGAAAAAACTTGTTACCCTTAACCAGTTCAAAACAAAAGGTATATGGTGAGATAATGCTTTAAACTAGAAATACGTTGTTAGAAACCTCATTTTTTATCTAAACATACTACTATTTACATAACATACTATCTACTTAGCGATAGAATTAAAAGTGCTAAAATCTATCGGTCAATCCTCATATAATACAGATCTGCTCACCGAAAGCAGTGACCGAACGCGGCCATGATGCCACTTGTCCAAATCATTAAAAATATTTTGGGCTAACCGTAGTTTGATTCTGCTCATTGTAGAAGTGCACCTAATACTTGAATGGGTTTAGCATCGTTATTAGGGTATTTCATCGTGCTACCTTTTTCTGCCATTCGACTATAAACGTTGATTTAGTGAAACGGAATTTAGGCAATGCTGATTCTTGTCCATCTGAGTCTTTTTTAATGAAAATAGATATAATCTTACGCTCATTTGAAGCATGTTAAACCTACTTATCTCAGTGATATGATAAAGCAAATAAGGCCCATGAAGTGGAAACAGGATATAGCATTGCATTTCGATAGTCGCTGGATTTAATTGCAGACTTACAGTCGATCTTTCTTCCCCTGAAAACCACTTTTAGTTTCGGATTATTTTTAAAGATATAAACTATAAAATAAGACGGCTGAAATACTTGAGCAAAGAGTAAGTCAATACTAGCTTTCTTTATTTAATCACATCTGCCGTGTAGAGATAGTACTTCTTGTCTGTGAGCTTTAGAATTTCCCCTTAAACACGTTTATAAAAATACCAAAGTAACTGAAACGCTTCAAATTAAAATATAGAAATCTTCGCAACCTTAAATAGTTTTTAGGTTGATTTTTAGGTAGGTAGGACTTTTGAGATTAGGTTTATTAGGACTAAAGACGACCACAAACATGCGTTTCTATAAAGAAACCCGTTTTACAGATTTTCTCGATTAGATGAGTGACTCGGGTTGATCTGCTGAAGTCATTTAATCCCGGGCTGTAGAACATGACCAGTCGGATGTTAAAAACAAATGTACTTATATATACACAGTTTTAGATACCTTTATACTCGCGACTGATTGGCGCGTCTGAAATTCAAAAATACCGCCACTACTAATGAAACTCAACCAAGGACGTATCTTTGAGAGGGCTTTTCAAAAAGAAGTGACATCTCTTCGCAAATCTGCTTAGAAAAATTTTCTGCCAACTAGATCCTAATCGTAATCGTCTGTATTGGACGTGTTTGAATACGTCGCAAACAGGATTAGGTCAGGGGTCTTTAAATCAATTAAAACAACTGAAATTTTTTCGGTGTTCTTATTTACAAACGAGGTCGTGTTGCGAAGAACACGCGGGCGAATTTATATTTTGTCTGTTAACATTACTACTCGCCCAATGTAACACAAGTGTAAATACTATGCTTCATCTAAAAGTACGTCTACTGAATATTTAAGGATATTTCATATAGATTTTCATTTTTAGATTGGTACATACTAGTTCGTTAGCGCAGCGCCTTCGTAAAGGAGTTTACGAGTATTGTCAATAAATAGAAAAATTGTATTCTCCCGTTAGTGTAGTGGCCGGTTATTTGAATTGAGGAGTTCAGGATTAATTCAATATTTTTCTGACATATTATTACTTCTTCGGAAATAAGTACTGGTATCGTTTAAAAGTATTTTAAGTGCCTAAATCATGGTGTGCCATCTCCGCAGGAAGGAAACTACCTGATTGACGTATTATAATGCGTAATTTATAAATTACCGTATAAAGACGCTACCACATATCTTGAATAAGTACTTTCATGTTTTATGCAACACTGTAGATTTAATTATATAAAGGTGTGAATACGTGTTTCATGATTAGCTTGTTTGCTCTTCCAGTTGCATTTACCTATAATAAGTATATTGCATTTGAGCTATTGCACTTATACTGTAATAATAAAATTCATAAATCAAATAAGCATAATTTCACGCTTTATTTAAGAATAGTGCAACACCCCATAATAAAAAAAATGACCATAGTAAAGCTTACGGCACAGACAAAAGGAACAGGTTATTGACCTTACGAGGACAATATAGAGAAGAGGGTCGATAATTGGATAGTCCGTGCAACCACAAAATGTATCCTGATGATGATTTCGAAATTGTTATGGCCATTCTCCAGAAGCCGTATGTCTCTGAAAAAAATCAAAAGACCAAAATGAAGCACAATCCAATTAGAAAAAAATGTGTACGTGCCTTTCAAGTACGTTATTCCAACTGAAGTACGCATTCAAAGACACGTCCCAAGGTGCTCTAAGGTGAGGGGCCTCGTCAACGGTCCACCATCTAGTGAAGTCTTTAGAAGCATTTGAACAAACTGTTTGAAAAGCTATGTGACAATAAAGAAAGAAAATGGCTCTTCAATTAACCAGTAGACGTCCACCGCATGCAGAGTGGCGCCTGACACATGCAGTCAGCAATGATATTTCGAGACAAGCTAAATTGAATGTGTTTTTATTTAATTTCTACGATTATTGTATAATAAATTGTCTATTTTGTATGCCATACTTAAAATGGACAGCGGTAAAACTTTGTAATAACAGACCTTCCGTTTCTAGGTAAATTATAAGGTACGTATAAATCTACGATACGTTATCTAAATGTTTGGTTTAGTATTTTTACATTACGTTTAGCCCCTACTGAAAATGGCAACATAAAAGCTTTTTAAAAACTCTACAAGCTCTTTCGTCTACGACTTTAACCATATTGCAAACTTTTATTGGCTTCTTCTTCAAAGTTCGTGTTCAAAGTGTGCATCAGAGAGATGTGTAATTATTAGATTGTGGTTCGTGTAAACATTTCTTATAATGAAAGCAATAATAATTTCAGTATATTAATTATAGTTAGTGGTCTCGGTCCTTGTTTTATTACTTACTATTGTTGGAGAAAAAGCACAAGCTTCGGAAAATAATTTTCTAGCTTATTGCTTTACTATGAGTACTGCTGGGTAGATAGTGGCTTAGAAATGACACTGGTTCTTAAAACTTGAATCTAAGTAAATGTACTGAACAGAAATTGATTAGAATTTCTTGATCACTAGGGCTGATAGTATTGGTTGCGCAGTGAGATTTAATCAGTATCAAGTAGCTAGATTTAGCTCACTTCTGAGACTAAACTTCTAAGGAGCGGAGAGGTGGCTTGTCTACCTAAATTCACAATAAGGTCATTGCTTTCCATTAATGCTTAACTTTTTTTCAAATTCGAGCTATAGTTACTGAGTAATGGTTGAATAAGATTGGGAAAATAAATCAGAATGTTCAGCGTGAAATGATTTGTTACTTTTAAAAAAAAAAAAGAGCTTATATGAGATATGCCACGCGTATGAGTCCTTGGCAGTTGTCAAATGCACAGTTCGAGCGCTACGTACTTCCTTTTGAAAAATGGGACTGACCTCCACGAATAGCTATGACCCGGATTGCTTCCATGTTTAGGTGTCTTATAAGCCCAACTATCGCCCCCTAAAGCAGCGGACGATCAAGTTGTAAATAACAAAGTAGATCTGCATTTTTTGCGTATAATCGTAGCCGCAAATGCAAGGTACACACTTTAGAAGAAATTGGCCAAAACGCGGAGGGTGGCGTTGCTTAAGGGGTTTCACCTAGAAAAGCCGGAAAATTATCAATTTGGTACCATTCGAATGGTGTGATGTGCCTACGAATTGGGCAAAGGGAGCAGAATACAATAAAAAACACAAATATCATCAATGCTCTGAAATAAAAAGTTTAGCTTTGTTAAGAGTACCTAAAAAATCGGCTCCAACGCATGGGTTCAACCGATACGATAAAATTGATTTCTACCGCATTTAAAGGAATTAAGCGTCTTGTTTACAACAAGGCCTGCCGCTGGTGTTGAGACCATTAATAAAACAGATATCATTCATAGAAATGATCTGCAAGTAACTTCCGAGTCCACTTGTGCTATAGGCTCCCAGAGCGCATGGAGCGCAAGGGGAGGTCATGATGTAACGTTGCCATACATACGTAAAAGGGTAAAATTTAAATAAAAAATTGTAGCATACTTGAAAGTAACCGTAAAGTGTGTATGCTATGTTGAAGAATTGCGTCAACCAATGAGCGTACTATTTTTCATTCACTCGGTTCTCTGTCGATAATTCTACTATACGCCGTTCAAATTCATTAGCATTCAAATACTACTTACCTTTAATTTTGCAATAACTGTTAAAAGGAGTCAAGGGCAATCACTCATATAGTCGGTGCATCCGTAGAGAAAAAAATTTTCGCTTCCACGGTCCTTTTTACATTGCCCCCTTCAAAGTCACAGCTTTGACAAACTTCACATGAAGATATTCGCAACCTTTTTTCCGGAACCATTGCTCCATTCGCACGTCCGATACCTCGTGCGAAAAAAACACAAGTTTCAATTTCGAGTCCTCGTGACGTATTTCGCACTGTCTAGTAACAATAAGCTGCAGAGAATGAACTTCCTACCAGAAGCGAGCTGCCCCTATATTTTTCCCAGCTTCATCTAAATGACGGCTAGAATCATTCTAGCCAGGATGCATTTGGTTCGCCTTCTGTTCATACGGCCATACTTAAATCAAGCACACGGTGCTCATTGTGCTCTGTAGCCATACTGAGCGCGCACCTACGCCTTAGTTATCCTTCAACTCACTCCGCATGATAAGTACCTATCTAAACTATCTTAGCAACGTGAATAACAATGATAACGAAATGCGAGAGCGTACTACGGAAATTCTATAGGCATAGGCAATTCAATTGTAAAGGTTTAATTAAAAACCAATACCTTGATGTCCACTGATGGTGGTTTGAACACCATCGGTTTTTTAATAACTATCGTCTGTAGGATATGCTGTCAGTGTTTTTTTTAACAGTGCATACAGTGTTATGGAATGCGAGACCTGTAGTTAACAGTCAGTTATTATTAATCCGAGCTTTTCACAAAAGTGTAATCGACCGCAATGTGCCATATTAGATTATTCGTGGTTGAGGACGCATTGAACGGTCACTCAGTGCAACAGATACCTGTACAGCTATAGGGCGACCATTTCAACTGGATACGCCGCATGTCCATGAGTCTACTGTTTTCGGACAATGAACGTTTCCATAAGCATCAATCAATAAGTTTCGAAAATATAGGAGCCACATTTACGCTTCACGTCTAAAGATTCCAAGCAACTTTTCCGATACGTCGAACTAATTGAATTAACTTCCCGCGATAATCGCACCGCCTCCATTAAGCCATTCTTCAGTCTAAGTCTAAGCGTATTACCAAAAAAAATCGAGGAGACGCAAATGAATCATTGTAAAACTATCTCGAATATGCAGATCAACTATCACATTTGGTTTGTACAATCATTCTCGGAAGAACGCCATAGGGCGCCACTAATCTATGAAAAATTATGTAGTGATAGATTCCAGTGCCTGTAATCTACCTAAACTTACACTGTCATTACATAAACGTGCGCATGGATTCTATTATCAACATACAAACCGACGCTTCATATTATTGCCAGTTTTCATGAGGCTTTTGAAAAATCGAAAGTAGACCGCTTGCCAAAATAAGTCAAACAGCCATTTTAGAAAGATGAGGTTTTTGTGAATAAATCTCCGCTTGTTTCAAAGAGTAGAATGTCAGTTGACAATTGGTTCTCCAAATAACCTAATCCGCCCAAACGATAATTTTTTTCACTGTTTTGCATCCTTGCATTTTTAGGACTTTTGGCTTGCTACCAGCCCCAAAATGAAACCCTTTCAAATTTGCCGTGTGCAGCGTATTTCAGCGATACGTAAACGCCTTTAGGTCAACCAATTAATCAAGAAGTGTTCTGGAAATGACTATCGTTGAATTGTTTAGGCTCTGAACTGACGCTGTAATCGCGGTAGATTGTGGTGATATTGGATAAATGTGACCGTTAGAAATGGCATTTATCGCACATGCAAAAAAAAAATGGCATCTCTCGAAACATGGCATTAACAAATATCCTATATATATATATACATATATATATATATATATATATATATATATATATATTGATTGAGTGTCGTATTCACATGGTCGCTTATTTAAAAGAAGAGTTGATGTTTAGAAGGAGATGTTCTGCTGTTACGCCGCTTACAGAAGGGTGTAGAGTCCCTTTTTTTGTTGTCGGGTGCGCTAGAGACGGAGTTGGCAGTACATCACCATATTACGCCAAAGGATCTAGACTAAACTAATGTGAATTTAAAGGTTCTCTGAACATGTTCCCGACGTTTATTCTGCTCCATGGACAGGCCCTGATCAGATTCTGTTGTCTCCCTGGGGTACCTGTTTTACCCTCGCCCTCCCTTCTCATGGTGCCTTGCCGCTTCCTGAAGCGACCGCCTTCGAGCTACATTGCCACAGTTAAGCTGCTGGCTCGCTGAATACCTGGTTGGAAAGTTGCCTGCTTTATTCTCGGGTGCAGTACAACGCAAAGAGAGCCCTCCTCTCCACACTGCAGCAAACCGGACGTACTCACAGAGAATGCGGACCTTCGTTTGTCTGGATATGGGGGGTGCTTTCGCTTGGGTTCGACCGAAAAGACGGGTTCTTTTCTGCGGACTCAGTAAAAAGAGGGGCAACTGACCAGTTAGTGGCAGTAAAATGCCTATCTATCTATCTGTCTATCTATCTAGCGGCCACTGAGGATCTTAGGGGTTTGGTGCGGCGGGACGGGGCAGCTCAATCGTACACAGAGGGAATTTTCTAGGCCATCCAGCAGGTGGCGCCTCTGTGGCTTAAATAAACTAATGCTCCGGATGGCGCGCGCGCTAGCGGCCCAGCCGGTTGGTGCTCCCGCCGTTATCGGATAGGCGGGCTGTAGCTAGCAGGCAGTAGTGAGTAAGAGCAGCATGTACTTGACTACCAACTGTAGAGTTCGGCGGCAGTGCTCCGTACTTCGCGCTACGGAGGACTACATTGGTTGTGCGACTAGAATCGCATGGCTTTGTTGTGGCTGCTCGTTGCTGTTACTGCTACGGGGATCTTTCGTTGCCGCTGCTCGCAGGTGTTACTTACAGTCGGTCAGTGAGCAGTTATTCATGGTGATCTACGGCGATGATGATGATGGTGTAGTGTTCTACTTAAACAATGTCATGAAAGCGTAACGAGGCAAAAAGGGGCAGACAGAAAAAAGAAGAACTTTAATCTATGCATATGTAAACCGGCGATGCTATAACAAAGAAAAACTCAAAATCATCAGGAATCGTTTACATCGCCGACGCGAAGAATGCGCACGTTACGCAACGGCGACAATCAAAAATAGGTTGTTTATTGTCTACACACAGGTATTTTATACAGAGAAATTCCATGTTCGATTTTCTTTTGCTGCTACTTTGCCCTGACGGTCTGTTTGCGTTGTTGGTAAAAGCGGTGCAGTGTCCCCACCGAAAGTTGCCGCTGCTGCTATTGAACTCAGCGGAGTTCTACGGGGGATTTCTTGTGAGCATCGGTTGCTACTATTGAAGAGGAAAATAACGAAGTTCTTAGCGCACTAGCAGGGTGCTGTACGAGGATTGGAAACGGGAAGTTAAAAGGCGGCTGAAAGAACAGAAGACGAAAAATGTAAAAACATTTCGGGCTAGGCCACTGAGAAAACGTTTCTCCGGATAGAAAGAATTTTATCTAGCGGTGGCGAGGTGGTTACAGTGATAGACTATTTTTTCCCAAGTCCTCATATTGTGCGCCTGACTGTGTGTGTGTTCTTGCTCTTTAGCGTCCGATAACTTTACAGCAAGAAAGTCAACTATAGAAGAAACTTGGAAAAACTAACTCAGTATTAAAGTTGCCGGTAAGAGTACGCAAGATAGGGTCGATATTATCTGACTCGTATTATTTAAACAGATACTAGCGCTATTCAATAAGTGTAAAAGAGTTTACAAAAAACAACAATAATGGTAAAACCTCTTTCCCCGAAAGGGTCATGTTCGTTTATGCCTTTTTATGTCTAGCAGCAGACATGCTGACCGGAGCAAAACCAAGAAATGTTTTATCTGAGCTATGATAAAAGTTCCTCTTGGCGGAGGAGCTTCAGTGGTTGTGTATTGATTTATGTACAATCGTCGACAGAAGCACGGCCTCAATCACTGCACCTAACTCTCTCTCTCTCTCTCTCTCTCGCTGCTCAATTTTGCAAAAGGAGCAGACGAGCTTAGGAAATCAGTAACACTTGAACGTGTTCCATGTACAAGCGAGGTGCCGAACGGATTACATTTTACGTGCGCCCGGTCGAGCCTCGTATCGAACATACGGAGACGGCTGGACCTTGCAAAGAAAGACACTCATGGCCAAAGCATGAGTGAGCTAAAAGATACTGGAATTTTAGATCTAAGCTTTCTCGCCAAAGTTCTTTATGCTTGCCGTTATATAGAGAAAGAGCGGAAGGCGTATTTCATCACGGTATAAAGCTTAGATTAAATACACGTAAATAGCTTGCTTACGTAGATGAGTTTGGTAATGATCTATACTTAGAATTGGTAAATATTATAACAGCTTATGTACGGCCCCTCGTTCTTATAAGGCCTGCGAGATTTTCTGAATTATAACTGACCGCTCACTGACCGCTAGCCTCTTTTTTCAACGTGTGTTCTGAATTGGTGGCCATACGCGCCAAATGAAACATGTCCTTTGATTGCACCTAACTCAGCTTTCAAACGATTTAAATAGGCTTGTGACATTCTTTTCTATGATCCTTATTGTGCTCTCATAAAGTGTCTGTGTACCTGTTAATTATCCATGTTACTTACACAGCTAATTCAATTGTTTGCTTATGGCCAATCAAGTACAAGGTTAGTAATTGGTTATGTACCGGGTAAAACTTAGGCTCTGCTAAAGTGAAATACCTTAATGACACGCACAATCATTCTTATGCAAGTAACATCCGTTGTGTCGGATCTTTGCATTGCATAACAGTACATGCTAAAGCTAGATTTTGTTGAGGCATTGAAGCGTCGTAAATGACATTAGCTGACAACCTTAGGTGACCCCAAATCACATTTGATCTAATTGCAAGATAACAACTGGTGAACTTGGATAGTGCAATGCGTGAACCTTGTTTGAACAAAGGTTTCTCATAGAGGTCTGTTGTACTCGAAAGTATTACTACTGTGACGCAATTAATTAATACTGGCGTCTATAACGTAGTACGAGCAAAAACATCGAATATTTTGCTACGAAGCAGGCGACAAACAACCTTTATTGCAGCAGGGCCTGAGCCGTAGTCCCACAGGCTTCCATTTGGCCGTTTCCGCTTGCTGGCGACTCCTATGGTCTCACTACTGGCACAGATGCCTGTATTTTTGTGACTCTGTAAGTGTGCATGCGATCCGGCATAACTGGGAAAGAGAAATAGTTTTTCCTACTGCTATACGTTTTCACATTTTGTCCTTTGTGTCAATTAGGTAATTAAAAGTTGTGATCTGTTTTGCGTCAGTTGCATATATATAAAGAAGCACTTTTTGCTTTGCGTCAGTTGCATATATATAAAGAAGCCTAAAACGAATGTTTCCTTAACAATTGGAAAGAGCTAACGTTACACTAAACCTCTTTACTTCTTATGGATTTCAATAATTTTACCGTCCTACAACTTCTCAACTTGTACCATTCGTCTACTGAACTTATTCACGCCTCCACTAACTCTATCAGATCTTAAAGCTTCAAAGATTCAAACTGATGTCGATGTATTTCGTGGGCGCCTCAAGTGACTAAAGTTCGCTAGAAAGGTAAACCTAACCTTCCTAACGAACTAAGAAAACCCTTAAATGTATACCGTAAGTGGAAATGCGTGGGCACCAATGGACTGACCACGGCCTATTTAGGGCCTGTCCGTTGCAAGGGCCTAAATACCACCCGCGTTAAGAGTTCACACCACCTCTGACCGTTAGCGTTATAACTTTGATGAGAACGTAGCCGACCTGAAAAAAATATAGCGGAAATACAGCTTTATCAGTCATTGTATACCTATATTTTGTATGGCTATTTGGTATCAAAATATTCTTCCCGAGTATAAGCGCAACCGTGATCTCTGTATTGCATTTCTTAGCTATCATTCTGAGTTCTCATTCTGAGTTCGTTGTATATGATAAAACAATCGTTTGATGGGGCTTTGAAATCATTTTTCGTTGACAGAGGGTGGCAGTACGGCTTTTTGTGCGTTGAGTGCCACCTAACGACATTGGAAATTTTAAGCATTCAAGTGGCCTGGAAGGAGAACCAGTTTTTTTGTCAGCCGTACAATACCGCAAAGACTGATGGCGAGCAACAATTACAAGAGATCTAAGGATGTTTTAAAGTGCGCACAACTAAAATGAAAATCAAAGAAGGACTTTTTTTGTTTACCTTTTCAGGTGGACATTTTGTAAGCAGCTGGCATCGGGCATGTTGTTGCTTGCAAGTAAGAAATTGACCTCTCTGTGTTGGCCAGATGCACTGATCGATGTCATTAGGCAAAAATAGTCCTTACACGTAGGAATCACTTTCAGTGTATATTATCCGCTTGCGACGATAACTGCGCTGCTGGCTTTTCCTATTCGTTGCGACATCTAGATGACTTCGACGACAGTTTTGATGTAAACTCATCTGGGCCCACAAAAGGAATCATGTCGTTTTCAATAGCTTGTTGATCAGTCAGCTTTACGACTAAACACGTTTACGATAAGACATGCGGCTCTTTTTAAATTATAATATATACAGAATGTACAGAACATGATGTCGCATACATATGAGCTGTACGAACGAAAACAGTGTCCAGTTGTTTCATGTCTGTTTCGATCAGGATTTTAATATGGAGTCCTAACCGCCTATAGGTAATCTAAGAATCTTTTCTTGAAATTATTATTAAGTAGTAACTGTGAGCAGAGCGTATTTGATGCGTAGATTCGTCGAACACTCGTTCGAGCGCGCCAAACATCAAACAATCCAATGGATTAAGCTGCCGCTTTGCTGGTAAGTCAGAAGCGGCAAAGGATCCAAGGGTCTCAACGAGCAAAAAAGCGCAGGACACTGACATTTGGGGGTCGATCTAGATGGCCCAATGAGCAACAGCTATTCTTCCTTCGAAAGCAGTTGGTAACTAAAAGTTCCGATATCATCGGAAATGGTTTTTTGTTTATTGATACGTATTAGGTCCTCTTAACCTGATCCCAAGAGAGCTACGCGTCTTGAAAATGTTCGTCATATTTTGCGGAAGTTAATGGGAATAGGCAGTCGGTTTTGGGCATTCCTAATCTCGGTAGGCCTTCATTGGTCACAAAAACACTAAACAATAGTCGATCTTTATTCGTAGCCCGGGCGCGGATCTCTTACTTTTGTATTAGAACGAGGTGATTTTTTTAATCAAAAGAAGAGAATGTCCGTAACGGCAGACGGATAGCTAATAACTTATCCGGAATCGGATGGCAATGGAGTCTCCGTAAATCTATTAATCTAGTAGATTTTACACTAGCAAAAGGTACCTTTGAGCGGGTCAAGTTTGCATTCTTTAAATGGATAGAAAAAAATAATTTTTTTGTATTTGGTTCGTCTGCTTATGAAGATGTTGTGGCATAAATTGTTAGTTATAATTAATAGACAAAATGTCCAAAGACAATTTTCCCTCCATTGCCCTCTTTGGCAGTAACAGATCTAATTTTCAAAATTACCTAGATAGAAATCCCTGACAAACCTGGCACGGTTACAAATAGATTAAGCGTAGTTCACAGACACATTTGCAGATCAAGGCTCACAGTACATCTAGGTTAATTTAGAGACGAGAGTTACAGAATCTGAGGGGTGTATCAATCTGGGCAGAGGTGTGCATACATGAGAAACCGACAATATAAAAAGATGCTTCGCGCAATCAAGAGATTATGTATTTATTAAGAACGATAGATCCGTAGATCTATGTATGCAGTGATCTCGACGTAATATACAGTACTTTTGCTATAAAATGAGGGTTTAAATTCATTCAAAAACTTGTATTATATATTATAACAAACGGATTAACTTAGATAATTTAGGCTGTGCAAGCTTTTATTCAATACATAAGTTCGTAATATTGAATGTGCATATCAGAACAGGTTAATTAGGTAATAAAAACAGGCATATCACCAGACAAAATGGGATATACAATAGTTAGTGTACTAATCGTAAAACCTTCATGGCTTTCCGCATGTATTTACTTACTTTATTTTCATTTTCATAAGAATTTCCATATGAATCAAAATAACGAATACATCGTTTTTTGTCCTAGTAAAGGCTCATCTAAACTGAGTTACTTGGAAATTGTTTTTTTCTACTAAACGTTATTTTCACATGGATCGTTTATATGTGATGACCACGACAAGAGATCGCTCAGGCCTGTGCGGTCGCTAGGCTCAATAACGTGCCTGTATGGTGCCGATATGTGTTATTTATGGCTTTGTACGTTGTGTCGACTGTGTCGAAGTGGGTTAAAATTTTTACACAGCAAAAACTAACAAATTGCTCGACGATTGTTACTATATGCACGACGGTAAATAAACATTTAACAATGTAGGGATACCAAATATGCAGAGCATTCTCTACAAGTGCAGTGTAAGCCCTGGCTTTCTAGGCTACGCATATGTGGTAATTTATAACACGTTAGATAAGAAAAAGGTTATAATTTATCCAAGTTTATAAAGGAACTGTTTAACTAGAGTTATTTGCCAGTAATAGGCTGGCTTCGATATCCCAGAAAGCCTTATATTTAGCTCAACGTTATTTTCGGGTGCAGTTACTTTGGCGCCACTAAATAGGTCATCTACGGATATGTCTGAGCAGAATTAGTCAGTA